GTCTCCCCCCCGGCTGCCGCGCTCCGGCCACCGCCGCTCCCACCCCCGCCCACAGCCGTCGCCAGGATTCCCTTGCTCTGGTTGTTATGGTGACAGCTGCGCCGGTGAATGAGCGTCTTAGTGACACGCGCACGCCTGTTCGGCCAGAGGTGGCCCAGAGCGCGCCGCGTTCTCGGCTGCCAAAAACTCCGCTGCGCGGGGTCCTCCCGGCCCAGGTGGCGGTAAGATTTCAAGCAAAGGTTGGGTTCCGGGGATTGGGCTTATTCCTCTCATGGACAGCGGAACGCTGTCTTGAAAACAAGAGAAAGGGTACAACAAGAACATTGAACTCCCTGGGTGCCAAGCGAGGGGCCTGGCACTTAGTAAAAGCTCAAGGAAAAAAAGAATTTTAATAAGTGAATGGATGATTAAATAAATGAAGTGACATTAGGAACCCCCAGCACTTGCCCCTCCACTCTCAGTAAGATCTCAAGGGACAAGGGCTCAAAACAAGAACTCCAGGCTGTCTGGTTACTAGACACATGGCATTGGGGGCCTTTGGACCAAAACAAACTGGACCTAGGCCAAGCTGGGGGAACAAATCTCAGGGACAAACCGTCAGAGAACCACCCACTCTTAACTGAGTGGTTCTGTCAGGTATGAGAGATAGGGGAAGGGAGACCACTGTAGCTTATAGCAGTCAAAGAAGACTTCCTGGAGGAGGGAGCTTTCAGCAAGTAGCCTGTTCACAGGACTCTTCCACCCTGTAGGAAGCCTGCAGGAAGGGAAAGGGAGTCATTCATTCTCCTCCTACCTGGACATGGGGCATCTCCCTCTCCTAGTCTGTCAGGGCTAGAAAATGAGCCAAGTTCCCCTCAGAGAGAGAATCTGACTGCCTGCTCCTCTAGGTCACCTCTGGCTTGCTGACTGGCTTCAACAACTCTGATCCAGACTCAGCCAGGACGTGGGCTGGCAACGGGCATCTCATCCATGCTGTTATAGAAGAGTCTTCCCTCAAGTCTTTTATTATTCGGGCAGTTTATGTGTTACCTCCTGACCTTCTCTGACTGCCACAACTAAAGAACCCCCACCACTCTCAGTCACTTTCCATACCATTATTCAGTTTTATTTTCTAGAATTAGTTCGAAAGTAGCCTTTCCCCTTGTTCTCTCCTGTCTCCCCCACCAGAACATAAGATCTGTGAGGGGAAAGAGCAGGTCAACTCCATTTACCAAGACATCTCCAGCCCCTCGGTGAATGCCTGGCACATGACAGACGATTAAATATACTTGTGGAATGGATGAATCCCCCTGCCTGTCAGCAGAACACTAAGATCCCTGGAAGTAAAGCCTCAGAACAGCTCTTTATTTCCCTCCCTCACCCTCCACCCCAACCCCATTGCAGGCATCACGTCCTTAAATGTCTGGGACTCCAGGCAAGCTAGAAATATCTATGACAGCTGCTCTCTGGGGTCTGGAGGGAAAAACAGCCCCCACCCCTGCCTCCAGCCTCTCAGATGCCCAGAATCACGTGCCCAGCCAGCTGCAGAATGGACATGGCAGGTCAGGGGTGCTGTCTTATTTATGGGTGTATTTTCCTGAGGCTCACTCTCAGCTGATGACTCATGCATCAGAAATCCATGGGCTCTGAATGGCAGCACACTCACACATTTGCACACACACCTCTACACTCTTGTACGCTCACTTCTATGCAAGTGCATACACACACACACTCATATACCGCCCCCTTAAGTCTGCTGGAATGAGGTCACTGGGAGATGCTGCTGGCATCAAAATAAATCTGAAGGCTCTGTGAAGATGAGACTAATTCCCTTGGAGTGTGTGTGGAGTGTGAGGCCCTTAGTATTATTTGCAGACAATGGCTGGGGGGAGGCTCAGGCCCTTCCTGGAGCCCTAATCTCCCTTCCTCGGGTCAGAAGCACTGGAACATGGGCCAGGGGATAGTGTGGGGTGAGGCCCCGAAGGTAGAGAACAGCAGAGATGTCCCAGGCCCCATGTGGTCTAAACTTGGGGCTATGGGCCAAGTAGGGGAGAGATGAAGAAAGTCAAGGGGAAGGAGGGAAGTGAGGGCCAAGAGACTGGTGCTGCCTGCTGAGTCTAAAAGCAGTGACGGCCTCTGCAGCTCAGAGCAGCCTGATCCCAGGGAGCCCCACAGGAAGGTGAGAGGCATTAGGGAGGGAGGCAGGGACCTAAGGGCAGGACAGAAACTTCCTCTGACCCAAGGGGGTTGAGGAGATAATGGGAGTATCAACAGGGCCAGGATTAGGATGAGGCAGTGAGGCATCTCTGGAGTAAAACGTAAGGAGGCACAGCCTCCCAGGGTCACGCCGTGCCAGCCCTGCACTTGCTCGAGTCTGAGAGTTAGTGCCTCTGAAATTTTGCACCCTAGGGCACCTCCCAGCCTGGCCCTAACCCTCCCAGGGAGCTCTGTACTGCGGGAGGAGACAACACTATCAAGTGTCAACTAGGTGCAATCTCTGGCCAGGCCGGGCCCCAGAGAAGACAGTGTGACTGCATGGGCCCCAGAGAAGCTGAGAGTGGCCTCTCTGAGGGGTCCTGTGCCTCAGAAACCCTTTCCTAGCAGAGGCTATGACCTAGCTCAGAGGATGGAAGAACTCCAGCACCCTCCTCCCCCACCCCCAACAGTGGACGGTGAAGGATGGTTTGAATCCCCAAAGCCTTCAAACCATCCTTCACCAAGGCTGCCACCAGCTGGCAGGGAAGTGTGTGGCCCTGGGGGCCCTTCCCAGTCCCATCCTGTGAGGCAGGAGGGAGAAGGAACCTGCCAGAGAGACTGGGGCTGGGTGAAGTCACTGTTCTGCTGGCTTCAATGGAAGCTATTAATACTCATAAGGTGGTGCTCCAGCACCTGTCACTGTGGCAACCCTGCCTCCCTGGCAGTGTAGCTTCTGAAGGCGGTGCCCAAGGGGGTGGGTGTGAGTGCATACACGTCTGCGTGTGTGTACATGTGTATCTATGTGTATGTACACCTGTGTCCTGGTGTGTGAGCGCCAAGTGCTCTCACCAGTGCTCAGGTGAGGGCTGGGGGCGGGATCCAGCCTCTTTCAGCAGCTCTGGCTCCCACTCTTCCTTCTCTCTCCCTCGTTTCTCTCCCTCCTTCTGTCTTTCCGCCCTTATCCCTACCTTCTCTGCTCCTTCGCACCCTTGTCATTTTCTCTCCTGGCTGTTGTCTCTCTTCTCTTTTTGTTCCTTGCCCTGCCTTTTTTTTTTTTTCTTTAATTCAAGTCTTGAAGCGTCTCCATGTTGATCAAATAATAATATATTTGACTGAGAATTTCCTTTCTTCCTCCCCTGGGCTCTTGGATGCTAAGCCCAGAACTAGGCACAGAGATGATCCTCCACCAGTCAGGAAAGAGTAGGATTCATCTAGGCCAAGCTGGACTCCCATAAACTTGAAACCACCCTAGTCAATATAACATGTCCCTCCATGTCGAGAAACTAACCTTAAAATAGGAAACAGCCACAATCATCCCTAGCAGAATACAGGGGCCCCCTGCCATCTCCGATCCTAGCCCATAGTTATCAGGCCATCAGAAAACTTATACAGGGTTGTCCTGCCTGAACTGCAGGGGGCAGCTGGACATGTTATCGGGAAGATCCCTGAGTACCTGATACTCAATATTTATTCAATGAATCAATGAACAAATAAATCAGTGAATTAGCCTATCAATACAGCCACCCAGTCAGCCAGAGAGCTTTGCTCAGACCAGCCCACCTGCCCAGTTCCCTTCTCAAAAATACCTTTCCCACAAAGTTTTCCCTGAGACTAGGACTTCCCTTTGAAGAATGGGAGTCTGGACTACTCATCTTGGTATGCAACAGGCACCACACTGCCTTATTCCCAGGTGCTTTGGAGTTTGGCGTCGCTCCTTGTCCCAGTGACCATTTATTGATTTCTACCTGGCATGCCTGGCACTGTGTGAGGTGGTTTCCTTGCCAGCACCTTAGGGGAGCCTGCCCTGTGCTTTTGTGTACTCCAGTCTAGTTTCCCACCTCCCAGGGCTAAGTTTAGGGCTGAACACACAGTAGGTCTCAATATTGTCAACATGTCAGTTCTGCCCGCCTTGATCTATAGAGTCAGTGGATCTCAATCAAAGTCCTAGCGAGTTATTTTGTGGATATCAACAAACTGATTCTGAAGTGTGTATGGAGAGATCAAAGACCCAGAATAACCAACACGATATTGGAGAACAAATTTGGAGGACTGACACTACCCAACTTCCAGATGAATTATAAAGCTACAACAATCAAGACTGTGTGGAATTGGTGAAATAATAAATAAATATAGATCAACAGAACAGAGCGGAGAACCCAGAAATAAACCTATATAAAAATAGTCAACTGATCTTTGACAGGAGCAGAGGCAATACAATGGAGCAAAGATAGTCTCTTCAACAAATGGTTTATGACCAACTGGACATCCACATGCAAAATCATTAATCTAGACACAGACCTTACACCTTTCGCAAAAATTAACTCGAAACAG